TAGTTTCAATACTGAACTTTTTTTTGACACAAACCGTTATAAAGGATACCTCAGAATGAAATGCTTGCTTTCCATCCAGAACCGTCGATGCGCGTGCTAAATTTATGGTTTTGCTGCACTGTTTGTGTGTTTGTGCGAATGGTTCGTATGGACGTCAAATTGCATGACATTATCTCATGGGATCGTTACGTCACTTTACCATGGACTTTCCATAATACATGAACCCTAACCTTCATGAGATTTCATTTTTTTTAAACTTGCGTTTCTTTTGCTGCTCAGTATATAAGTCAGACCTATCACCAACGTGTTAGGGTGGTCAGGCTCTGATTTGGTTGATGAGTGCGGCGTTAAACAACAAACAAAGACAAATCAGTTAACGTTAACCCACCTTGCCTGAATTAAAGACACCTTTTCTAGGCACTGATCCCCTCCGTGTTCTGGTTGATAGAGCCTCTGCCCATCCGCCTTATTCCAGAACACTTGGTGGCACTGGCTACTCTGCCAGGCGCTCGGAAACCAGGAAATATGACCAGTTGGCTGGTGAAACCTTTGACTGTTTAATCGGATTTAAGTATCTTCCAAATTTTGAGTAGAATTTAAAACATATCTGATTTTACCTCGTACTTCTAAACACACACAAGTTCATGTAATCGTGATGTCTTGGGGGTGCTCCTCTGAATGTACAAAAAGGTTAAATAGATATACAAAAGGTTAAATGGATAAAGTTACCCAAATGGCTTTTGCGCGGCTTCCATATTAACATTTCGACACGTTACCTCTAATAGCGAGAGTTATTTCCCTTTGACCATATAACCTACTCGTGAGCACACTTATCGATGAAATTAGAAATATGCTTCAAATGGACCTTATGTGATGAGTAGGTGAATTTAGTTCTGTTGGGTTTATTTAACAATGCGGACTACTATTTTTTATCTACTATTTTGAAGTAAACAGAAATTGCATCTTCTAATATTGTTTGTTGCAGGAATGTACGAATCTGATGTGTACTTGTAGATTTACAGATATCTGCTGTTTAGATGTGATGACTTGTATTTATCGTGGCACCGTTGATAAACAAGAGGATATTGTGAAACTGAGATCGTAATCGTTTTTTACAACGTGTCTCGTCTAAAACGGACAATGTAATGAGAAACACTTTGGTAAATTCCATGCCCAGACTGAAAAACAATCGCGATTATTGGTGGGCCCATCTCGAGAGTGGGAGAGTTTATCGGTTTCTTACGGCATAATGTTCTGCCGTTAGTCTGAAATGTAACTAAAGCGTTCCACGGCCATTTAGTCCATTGATGCGTCCAGAGTTGTCGCCCTTTCATTACAATGCGGACATCTTCGATTCCGTTTGCTAAACTGCATTTAATAGGTGTTCCGTTTCGAGGGAACATAAATGTACTGTTTTGAAAGAAGTTCGTTATTTCCAAACGGAATCTACTAAATCGTAGATCAGAACGGAGTATCTCAAAGCTACCGGGAATCCTCGTATTTACGCCCTGTCGTTATTAAGCACATGAGCCTAATAACGAGTTTGGGTGGGCTTAATAACGAGTTTGGATTTTGGAATTTAAGCCCATAGGCTCACTTCTGGACACGATAAGAACAGATTTACCTTGGTCTTCGGGCATTTGCATGGATGGTCACATTCTCAAAGTTATGGGGATCTCGTGAATGTTCCAAAATGCAAAGTCCCAAAATATATTTAACTTTGTTTCCAAAGGCGGATCAATGACCGAAGCCCTGATTTCAATGCAACAGTTTGAATTTTAAAGAGTTCTCTCAAATTATAATAGTTATGTTGAAAAGATGATTGAATTCGTTTATGGAATAAGATTCGTTCCATTAAAAGTTAAAAAGAACAACGTTTTGTTGTATTTTACATCCTGAATTGAATTAATTTCAGAAAAAATGTTTCTTAGATGAAGTGGATCAAATTCGAGGATTCCCGATAGGTTAGGGTTTCTCGAGGCGGACTATGCACGTTTTGTAAGCTCGCAGTATTTCTAACATGTTTTCTGAATGTTAATCTTCTTTTCTAATAAATAAAACATCTGAATTGAACATAACTACGCATGCAATGTTATATTGGAAGTTAACCCGTTACGGCAAAGATACTTTTTCTGTTGTCAGTTTTGTCTTGTTTGACAAGATAACATAGTGTAATATTTCCGCTTACAACTGGACGCTTACAACTCCACGTGAAGGATAAAAAAAGTGCAAGCTTTTTCGGAGGTTATCTTATGTTGAGATACATATGTAAACGTGAGTCCATATATACACCTCACAATACGAATGTCACAAGAGTTTTTTTCAATCTATTCCTCTTGTTTAAACTTACAAGGATCCAATAATTATCTTTCTCCTTTTCACCTTCAGACTTGGCTATGTCCTGTATAGGACGCTTTGTATAAGTGTGTGAGCGATCCTCATGATCAATTGCAAGTATAGCTCGTGTTGAAATGCATGATTCTTCAAAATGTCCAATACTGACACAAATTTACAACCTTAAGTCATGAAGGAGATTCAATACATGCTGGTCATTGACAGGGTTGAACCGAGTCAAAGTGACTTTATGTATTCTTGTGCTATGAAGGCAACTACTATGTCATGCCTTTGAGAACTTATATCCCGAAAATATCCAACAGTATGACTTTTCTCTTTTGCCATTTGTTCTAAAGGCTGTGTATCGTTCAGTAACACAAGGGGTGGAGTTAGAGCATTTCATGAATTGAGCCTCGTGTGCTCAGGCAATATGTAATACAAGACCAATCTTGTGGATAACAACTTCCTGGTTTATTTTCACACCGTTTCTCGGCTAGTCAAGAAGAGACAAGAACTAGCCAAGAAACGTTGTGAAAATTAACCAAGAAGTTGTTATCCATAAGATTTGTCTTGTATTACTGAGCCAACTTCTAAATGCCTTTGAATAATTTCAGGTAATATGTAATATACTATCTACATTGGAAGTGGAAATTCCTCGCCCTTGGTAAATATGCTGTTTCAAATGTGCAATCCGTGTTCGATTATGCAAAAACATTTTGTAATAAACCTAAGCTTGTTTGAAATCTTTAGAAAGAAACTGTTTAAACAATCAAGTGAAAATGATAGAACTGTCAGATAATCAAGTGCTGTTTATCTAAATGTGTTTCGATATTTCTCCCCTCACTTCTGCTTGATTTCATTGCACAGTGATTCCACCAGGACTCTGAATTATGTTTAGATATCAGTTATTACAGCAGTATGTACTGACACTGGGACCTGTGACCGAGCAATGACACCATCAACTACATTCCATAGTTTTCAAATGGAATGATATAGGTGAGAATATCAAATCCAGCTTCTGTCCCTTGAGTTATTTCCCTTTATCAAAGGGAAGCTACACTAGTCAGTAAGACGTCACGTTTGTTCCGAGTCTGCCTGATTAATTCGTTGTTCGACATTGCTAAATTCAGTTTAATTGAACAACAGAAGTAAACAACGCAAAAAGTAGATGCTGTCTACGGCAAACCTTGGTTTCAAAGTTTTCACCACACCGTGTTTGCTATAGCACTCTTAGTTCTATTATTTCTGAGAAACTTTTCTCTACATGTGTTATGTATCAATTCCCTTTATTGATGAGGCCGAGTATATATGCCTCACAGCTGTATCGGTGAAGAGAGAATCTTGTAAAAAATCAGTTTCTTTGGAAGAAGGTGGTTTGCACAGCGACAAAGATGCCCCAGGAAGAACAATTTTCGTGTAATACTGGCTTCTCTTGAGATCCAACACAGGAAGAAATTAGCTCTGTTCGTTCTGGTGCACCAAGGAAGACCTTGTGCTAATTTCAGAGCAATACGTTGAGCTCTTTCAAGAGCAATAAGTTCATGTGGGGACAATTCAGACCAGCGCTCACAACCAAAGAGGGCTTCTTGGATGCAAACAGACTGAATCGGGTTAGAGCTAGTTAGGGGTTTAGTGCTTTAGCATGGAGACCTGAGTCTATAAGAGCAGTAGAAGAGGACCTCAGTTTGGAGACTACATCAAGAGTTCTCTCCCATGTATTGGTAGACTTCCAGGACAATCCCTACATGTTTGATTTCTTATTACTATGCCATAGAGTCGATGTTCGTTTTTGTCAACCTCATCAGTTTGCTTTTAGAAGGCGAGAATGTAAATCGCCAACTCGCGTTATATAACTTGTTTGAGTGGCATTTTAGAAGTTGAGACGTACAATATAGAACAAGTTTTATGGATAACAAGTTTTACGAAATAAAGAAGTTGTTATCCATAAAACTTGTTCTATATCGCGTTATATAGCTCTCACATATTGATAGCATGTCCTGCACACACGTTGAGAGTGAATGAGTGAGTATGGCGCTACGCCGTTTTAAGCAATATTACAGCAATATCACGGCGGGGGGATACCAGAAATGGGCTTCACCCATTGTACCGGACACGGATCTTCGGCGTGACGAGCTAACACTTTAACCACAAGGTTACCCCACAGCCCCATTCACGTTGAGACCGGGCTCATGATAGCTATGTCGTCAGTTTGAATTGGGGACGGGATCTGCAGATCAAGGACAATGACACCTTTCTTACTGGTGGACAGTTGTTTGAGGAGTTAATATAGTGAACAGGTGTCTTATTGAATTTCCACTATGCTATAAATGTTGTCAAATATTGTCCATAGGCTGTCAAGGATTCCTACATTGTGCAGTGTGTACATAAGACCGGCCATCCAAGAAAACAGCATATAAGGAATTAGATCTCTCCATGATGTGGTTCAATTTCTTGTACAATGTATTGTCACAGGACGATCCCTTCATAAAACTAAACTGTTGATTGGATGGGAACACCTTACTGTCTGTGATTTGGGGTATCCTTTTGCTGATGTCCATTTCAAAAACGTTGTAGATCACTGGCAGTAGAGTTACGCCGCAATATGAGTCAAGAGAAGTACGGGGTTTCTTTCCTCCTTTATGTATGAAAACATTAGCTCGAAAATGAGTGAAAACATATAATATTTATTAATGGTCGGGTATTTATAATAATTTCTAAAATCATTTGTTTTGCAGTTTTATGAGACATGTACACAGTATACACCCTGTAGAAAGAATGCTAAAATGTTACATACATGTGAACGTATGAGGTAGTGATGAAGTGATTTGGCATGCAATAACGAGCATGTGTTTGGATACACATTAAAAGACACGCAAAAGACACGACTTTTATGGACTGATGGTAACGCTGTTAAAAGTCAATATTTGCAAGTTTGACATTTTAACCTGTTGTTCAGTGATATGTTCACCACGATTCAAGAGTGAATACGTCCACTTATATATGTATCCCAATTGCGTAGATCAATGCTCATGATGTTTATCACTGGATTCTCTGGTCCAGACTCGATTATGATGAGAGCGGCTTTACAAAAACCTACCAAACCAAACCGTGTAGAATCGGTACAATGTTATTATGTTATCCACCAGTCGTTAAGTAATTGTTGGCAAGTTCAATGTTATTAATGTTTATTGTTGGCAAGTTCCATGTTATTAATGTTTATTGTTGGCAAGGTCCATGTTATTAATGTTTATTCTGAAATGAGTTGTTTGCAGTCTAAACGTTAATAGGTCCTTTTATATTTCGAAAATCGATGGTTACCCCTGTAACCATCCACAGTATATCACGCTATAGTTCATGCAAGAATGTCCATCCCTGATTGGTTCACGTGACTTTGAATAAATTACCATGTATGCCCGGTGGACAGCTGTACAACGTCCAAGTTGGGAATAAATCATTAATACCGCACCCCATGGAAAAAGCATGCATCCACGGCAGTCATTGAACCGGGAACCAGTAGTTCAGATCGACAAGTCGGTACCATGTTAGTAAAATATATGATTGAATTTCAGTTTGTTTTAATGTTATATTTACATAATGTGAGATTTAAATATTCGGTAAGATAAATTCGTTGTAGCATTATGATTCGGGTTATACGGAGCTGTATGCGTCCCGTGCTTGGGTTTATCCACCGAAACCCCGTATATCCCGAATGATAATACTACAACTTATATTGTAATGGGGACGTAATGTATGCATGTCTACTTCTGTATCATGAGGAACAGGATATTCCGGAGTATTTTCTTACTCCAAATTTCAGGTTAATGAAATGTAGGAAGTACAGTAAGTAGATAGGGACATCCGAGAACAGCAAACGTGATTAGATTACGAAGGTGGACACTTATCAGGAGAAGACAATAGATAATTGGTGCTGATTGGTACTTAACAATGGTCAAATGGAAGCCATGAGTAAATCTGTCTTTGCATAGCATTTTAGTTTGGAAGTCAATACTGACAAATCTATGGAAAACAACTTAATTTTAGTATTATGTGAGTTTGGTGTCTAGCGGACAAGGTACAAGAATATGTCCCAAACCGCCGCACTCAGAAACTAAAAGAATTTTTTGGTATGGGGTGAGTTTGATTTTTACACCGTTTTCAGCAATATTCCAGCAATATGGCGTGACGAACGACCGCTTTAACCACCAGGCTACCCAACCACCTGGCAGTACAGGAGCAATTCCAGGCAGAATTGTCGCCTAATGGGTAATGAGCGCTGACTGGCAATGAACAAAAGGAGGGCAAGGGGTAATTAGCATTGATTGGATACGATGATATACATGAAAGCCGGTTTGATATATAGTGGCACAGATAATTAAATTAAGTTCCAAGATATGATCCCTGATCAAGTTTCATGGCTAGCATCACTTCCAAATGCAATTCAAGTTTGTTTTTGTTTTCGTTTATCAAACTTATATCTATTTTCATACTTGATAGTATAGATCGATGTTCATGTTGCCAATAACTTAATTGTCTTTTTCAGATTGGATCATTCATAGGTGGCCGTCAACCAGGTGAGATATTGCTGTGCGTGGCGTTAACGAACAGCCAAACAGATCTAATGCAGGGACAAGGATTGCACATGTGAATTTGTATCAACATTACCTAATCACTAGTTTCTCATTAGGATGCTAGATCTTGCATTTGGTATTGATGACGGTGCATAATAAATTGGTTGAGCTGGAATCTTGGATGTTGCCTGTTGTTACAGATTCCAGCGATGAAGGTGTATTTACTGCGTAGGAGCTGAAGGCTGGGCTGTTGTTCCCCAGTTGTAGTAAGCGTACACTGGAGTGTAGTTCATGTCCCCTTTGGTATACTCAGAGTCATCCTCATCCTTTATGTTCACTGTTCCAAACGCACTATCGGCATAGGTCGGTGGTGCTGAAACCGCAAACAATGCTCTTACTTTCTAGGAACGTGAATGACATAGGTAACACGAACGAAGACCCCGCTGCAGCAAACACGTAACAGGCATGAACAGGTTGATGCATATGGTATAGAGGATGGTGCACTGTTACAATGAAGGCTAGAGTTGAAAACTTCCCGTATATCTGAATGAACATAACATCGAGAGACAAACTGAACATCTTTGCGTTCCCGTATGCTTCGTTTTCTCATAAGCGATTTTTTATACAGGCATCTCAATGAGTCGGGTGAGTGAGTACCCATGTGGGGTTCGAGCACGGGACTGCGGCTTGACGAGCGCCCGCTTCAACCAACCGCCACAAAGGCCTCGGAAATAACAACTAGGTAATATTTTTTATTTCTTTTGCAAAATGTTAGGTGGTATTTTTTATTGATGTTCTGCCGGTAGTCTATAGATACGTAATTCTACGATGGTATTAGGCATAGAGAGCCATGGTGGGTGAGTGAGTTGTTTTACGCCGCTTTTAGAAATATCCAAGCATTGTACCAATGTGGGGAATCGAACCCGGGTCTTCGGCGTGACGAGTGAACGCTTTAATCACTAGGCTACCCCACCGCCCCTGCTAGGGATGTTTACGAACAGGTTGTAAATTTGAGGAATAAACATGGTAACATGAAGAAAGAAGAAACTCACGCATTGAAGCTTCAGGTGGAGCAGAAGCCTGTGTCCCTCCCTGGTAGAGCTGGGAATGACTAGGACCCTGCAGCGGAGGAGGAAATCCGTACTGCTGGACTGTGGACCTGAGTGGAATGGATCCGATGATCAGTTTGATCGGTATTTCTAACTGGAATGCGGGTCCAGCAGGAGTTACGCAGAACTGAAACACAAGGAACAATAGTCCATACATCCTTTGGTGACATATTTAGGCCATGGAGGCAGTTAAAATATTTATTGCACAACAAGAAATGTGAAAACAAGAATGCTCGCTTGCAAGCGACAGTGAGCTAAATTACTGTCCGAAAATGGTACATTTCCTCTCACAAGCATGGTTTATTGCCTGTAACAAGGAAGCATAACGGTCGGAAAAGCTTCAAAGACTGCGTTGGTTTTCAAGTATATGGATAATATATAGAAAGTCACTTTCATCAATGCAAGAACAATTACCTTCACATAGTAATCAATTACAATGATTCTGCATCCATGTAGTTTGGATGGCGGCAATGGTGGTATCGGTAGAAGGTCTCCATTCCATGTATCCGAGTCTCCAGGAAGAATTTCTCCGTGGGATATTTCCCCTATTTTTCGATAGTCTGTGCGTGACTTTCTTGTTGAGTGAAAGATGATTACCTACAACATAGATTGTAGTTTCTAAAGAGAATTACATGACTCAATGATACCCAGATCTAAAATGAACAAGATGTTGAAATGGAGCATCACTATTACTGCATCACAATATTCATAAAACTGAATGTAATAAGGATAATTGTATAGTATATCCAGCTGAAACTAGCTTTACTAGAATCCCACAATCTGGAATTTAAAGTACGGAATGGATTTCAATCTCTTTCTAAAGTTAACACTATTAGCAGTAGACTACGTATACTCCATACATTGGTATATAATTACATTAGAAACATTCATCAAATTGAGATGACAAAGTACCTTAAGTTAATCAAACAGCTATCCATTGAATATTCTCGTATTTTGGTTTTACACTTCCAAAGCAAACATGAAAACAGACATTATCGCCAGGGAATACAACATCTCAATGTTTTCTTTAGATATACATTGATGGGGCATCATCCAGCAATAAGAACTCTCGCGTACGATTAGAACATGCCATGGAAAGTAAGCAAGTAAAGTTAACTTCTGTTATCAAGTTAGGAAGTTATATGTTCACACACTGTAGTCTTACATACCATGAATAACTCGGCGTATGATCTCTTCATCCTCCTGTTACTGTGGTTGATGACCTCAGCTTTGATAGGAATAGATTCCCCAGGAACGTAGCCACATCGGTCAATTTGAAACTTGCAGCTGATTGGCCCAGATTTGCAGCACAAGCAACACAGGGTCTTTTCATTTTCTCCCCGTGAACCAACCTGCAATAAAAACAGCAATAAGTTATTACTCCTGCATTTCGGTATCGTTAAACACTTTTTGTGCACCAATATCCTGCAAACAAATGAACAAATCTTCGTGATTTTACAACCACAATGAAGGACTTTTAGCATCCTTGCATAGTACGACCATTTGCCGTAGCCCACAAAGATCGATTACTAAAGCGTTCGATGAAACATAAGACTTAAAGCGTTCAGCTACATGGACACAATATCTAATGCCTATATCATTGTGATTGCTATTATATTGATAAAAGCGGCATGATTTCTCACTGATAGGAATGAGTCCTTCAAGATAATCATTACAAAAAAGTGTCTATCCTTTTCGAAACACGAATGACTGTGTGGTGACTAAAGAATATACCTTTGAACTATATGGCACGTTGGAATGTCACATGATGTTTGTGTACGTGATACATGTTGATGTCGAATTATACGGTTTTTATGTCATTATTAATTTGAAATCTTTCAAGCAACATTTCAAATGGAATAATTTAAAAACAACAACTTTCGCCTACCGCAGCTCCAGGGTCTGAGTTGAGGTCGAGTAGATTGACGACAGTAAAAGCTCTTTTCGTTGTGTGGTCGAACTTCCAAGGTTTGTCAATGGTAGCATTGAGATAGTATCTTATCCTCCCGAACGAACCTTCAAACGAGGAAGGTATTCCATCTCGCAACTGGTATCGGAAGGGGTATGTATAACTTCCTGCATGCAGAGTAGGGTTGTCTCCCCCTTGCCCCGACGCTGCAAAACAGACAATATATGTTTAGTGTTCTTGAGGTTTATGCACACGGCATGGCGAAGGACAGCAAGTCTGTTTCTAACATATAAGTGTCATATTGAAGCAGTTTCTAACATATTTTAAAGATCAGTGTATTTTAGCAGGTTTCATTTTCAGCTTAACATATGTTGTGAATAGTTTTCGACTCAACATGTCCACTGACGTATTGTTGAAAACAATTATATCACCCATACTTTGACTTCTGTTTTCACCTCCTCTCAATATATATTTGCTTTTCTTTATCATGATGACATACATGTTATGTCCCTTACAATCACGAATGTTTATTTTTTTGTAAATATTTCATGTGTTGACACAACATACCAGCTGGAAAATATAATAATATTAATCAAGAGAACTTTATCACATTTGGGCCACTCTCGAATACGTTTGAACACTGATGTTCTCATTAATACCTTGTCGATTCCTTGACCTTGTTCAAACCCACTGCCTGCATATCAACATGATTACAATGTTTGACACGCACTTTCATAGTTTACTTTTGTGTTCATCCTATTATGATTTGAGGACAAGTATCCCTATAAACTACATGTACACCTACAGTTGGAATTTTCTTCTAGAACGGCAATCGAGACATAAAAACGAGGTCATAACGAACAGGCTTACAACAAGCTAAATTTAAGATTTAGATATCGGCGTTCAACAACTAGAGCGGAGTCGGTAATTACTGAAAAAAAAGCTAAAAATGAACTAAATTGAGTACCGTATATATTTTCCGAATTATAGGTCCATCGTGACATAGTTTTCTGTGAACATACCTTCAACTAAAACCTTTAACAAAACTGTCGTCAGAAAATAGAAATCGAAACACTAAAAAAGGAGAACAAGGAAGGCGACAAACAACGGGCATCACATCTTTCAGTAAATGTGTGTTTGAGTGATGAGAGCCAACAGGTCTGTCCAAAACGGTGTTGCCGCTTTCTGAAAATCGCATCCAAGACCAAGGTTTTGTTGCTTTTGTATAGTACATAGTTCACTAATCCTTCACAAGGCCGCGCTGTCGTTCACTTCCGATTAAATCTCATTCACAAATGAAAAGAAACACAAAAGAATAATACTGAGGAAGTACAATTCTTGTATACAGTCTTTGAATTATCAGTGTTATCTTGGGCAGATAGGTCACCAATCAAATAACAGTTGCAACAAATGGTACCTTGCAGAATTATTTGGAATTTGAGGCTAAATTTTGTGCTGTTGCTATAATTATATTGTACTGACGTCCATTCATTCTTCTCTAATCATTCCTGAAATTAGGCGGGGTATGTTATTAGCGGACACCGTTCTATGTGACAGTGAAATTGCCACAATAATAAATGTATAACAGTTCTTATTGGGATGAATTCACATGATACTTATCGAGTCACATGTCACGTGTGTTGATCCTAGATGTCCGACAGTCGAATGTGTTTATCGAACTACTGTTATAACGAACTACAATTAATGCTTTCCTTGTGTATGTTGTAAACGTTGTTCAGTGTTGTTTACAATGCACGTGTCATAATTTGAAAGTTCCATGTACCATTTTCCTAGGGTACTATTTAGTTAGAAAAATATGACTCCAAATTATTCATAAGCATGCAAAAATATAATTTCGCGCGTCTGAACTGCAGTCCATGAATAAGATAAATATCTCAAACTGAACCTTGTCACGCAATGTTGTCATCCGATCGCGCCACTTTTCAACGTGTACATGTAATTCACTTACCTGTTTCCGTCATAGGAAACACACACCATTTATTATGAGTGGTTTTTCTTTTGGTTGTTTTTCCTACCTTTTCCAAATAAAACCAGTTCAGAATTGAAGTAGGTCTCGTGGGCTGAGTAATGCCTAACAGTCGTGCGTTTGCCCGACGTATGAGTCTCCGACCATCTCACAATAGCGCCACCGTAGAATTGAAGCCTTATCCCTGTCAAATAGAGCAAATGTTCTAATATCTTATCAAAGGCGTATTCGATTTATTAGCTGAATTCTACACACCACAGCTGAACACGCTGAAACATGTACAGTTGTGACACACGTACTTTTAGTCAGCAGTTTGACTTAACACTATCCCATGTAAATATACACAATTAATAAGCACTCGACTAGAACCTCAGCAGGTACAACTGAATAATCTGCCTTCTCAAGCATGTTTCTCGTGTTGACATTACATTAACCGTCGGGGTATAATTAATGTGTGGAACGACCTAATTTTACCTGAAAATCATTCCAGACTTGTAAAAGAGTTTTGGTTTGATCTATTCAAGTGTTGTGATTCCTTTGAACATGCAAACATATGACCGAGGGAACGGTCATATATATAAACGTTCTGACAGGTACTTTGCAACTGCTTAGGTTGGGTTGTGATCCATATCCACCCTCACTGAGCCGCCATCACATTAGAACTCACATTTGCATGCAATACATCGTGGAGACGAGTTAATAATGATCATTTCGTCATTCGGAACGAGGGTGGTTATATCTGAATTTGGATGTTTGCATACACTGTAAGCTTCCCCCCTATCACTGCAGTTTTGTTTTACTTGTTGATTTATGTGTATGTGACGACCCACCCGTTGAACCCTATTCGCGTGTTACCCGTGAAGTAAGCATCAAGAGAGAGAGAGAGAGATTTCGTAATTCTGGTGTAGCTTATGTATGTTTATGATAATTTTGCAATAAACAGCTACAAATGAACTAAACTGAATTTCTACATATATATATATATAAAGAGGGAGAGAGAGGGAGAGAGAGAGAAAGAGAGGGGGGGAGGGAAGAGAGAGAGATATATATTCCGTAATTCTGGTGTATGTATGTTTATTTTAATTTTGCAACTTGTCTATAGGTTTTACCCTACCCCGCCGGTCATCATGGTTAATAGACTAACCTGACCGGGTTACTGACTTGCCTCGCTGACTTGGCTGACACGTGTCATACATGTCTAGACTCGATTATCTACAGACCGCCGTGATATTGCTGGGTGCAGCGTTAAACAATAAACCAGGAAACATAGTGATCAAAGTGTGATTTGGTGGAAATAACGTCTCTGATACATATCACAGATCCAACCCTTACACTAGTCCCCGCCCTTCGACCTCCACCCCGCGCTTACACACACACACACACACGTACGAACCCGCTCTCCACACACACATACCTCCGATTCTCAAGGCGCATTTTAGCAATTTTTGAATATTTATATATTTCCAATTGTCTAGATGTCTAAGTGTTATCCATTACCTACCTCTCATTTTCATTTCCTCGTTCAGTTCCACCGTGACATGTCCCTCAAGGAACTGGCCCGGGTAATACACTGCTTGGGGATTGTTTAAACTTATTGAAAATAGCTTCAGTTTACCCATGGTTGCGAAGTCTGTGTGTCAGGTTATGTGTTGGTCGTCGATCTGAGGTTGTAGAAATATGGGCAATCACATTATATTATTGCGACATACCACTGAAGGGTGCAAACACAGCATAATCTATTCCAATCACAAGCGTCCGCGCCGTTTCACAACCATGACTTGTGCCGCTCTGTTGTTTGGGTGGGTCGTTGGCAACGGGGTCAGGCTGCAGCCGAGCACGTAGTACACCGTTACGATAAGCTGGTGTTTGCTTACATGTACATGTGGGTTCTGTGGCGTATATACTCCCTTACTAAAAGAGATCATGAAACTGTTAATAACAAATTTAATAACACAGGAAAGTGTCGACAACCAACATTCCAATCAAGAACGTTTAAAGACATTATTACACACCACACTTCTCTAACAATAAATAATATATTCTCTCAATACTTCTATAGTACCGTATAATTTATGGCCAAAAAAATACGTATTTAGATTACAATATTAAATTACAAAGTTCGAAAGAATTAATGCAACTTTGCATTAAATTGACTCTCGCGCTCTCCACCAGCCGAACATTATTTCAAACGAACCCCATAGAGTTATGTCCCTTGTAGTGCTCTTTACGAATATCCAACGCACAACAGTTTTCGATGTACGAAACAATTGTTTACATTCCATATATGTCAAGTGTTCTCTGTTTGAAAGCTGTTCACCTCGAAGTTTCAATTATCGATTCCAGGCAGGTCGTAAGGGATAATAAGTCCTTTATTAGACCAGAATATTGTCGAAAATGTATGACATTTTGCTTTTAAGTCTATACAACCAAATACCAATGCTCTTCCTGTTCTTTGCATGTGTTCCAAACAATAGCGCACACGGGTGTGTGGGCTATCATGTTCAGAGATGGCCCATTGTTTTCTGTGAATCATTACTCATGTTTCTTTTCTTCATTGTTTATGGACGTCAATGGCGGTATTGAATGTCGAAATTGCGGCAATCATCGCTGTGCATTTTTGCAGATGTCTCCCAATTCACATTGGACTTCTTTGAGAGGTGCTGTGGGGTATTTCAACATGCCCCTGGATACTTTATGATGGTGCATACCCTTTGTTTGGGTTGACGTATTGTTTTTCGTCACGACAACGCCGGGGCTTTTCATGCACAAATCAGTGCTCTCTTCCAGTATAGGGGATAGCCAGCACTGGACCCAGTCCGTTCCCCCATCGACACGTGTGGGACACGAAAGGGAGACGTGTGCGTCAACGTCATACGTCATAGACCACGCTGGAGAACAGATTCAGGTATTGCAAAGGAGATCCATACACACTATATCTGGTCGAGTGATCGAATTATGGCTGTAATATTGCCGACGCGATGTTAAATTGTAACTCACTCACTGGTCGAGTGAATAGGTGTTTGACAAATCATAGCAATTCATTACTAATGCAATATGCGTCAATATTTAAATTCCGTTCTTAGCCCTTAGCAAGATAATTAGAGGTCATCTGTCATCTACTGATACTGATTGTAATGTGTTCCAACGTCTTTCATTATTGCCGTGCAACAATAACTAGAAATGATTATCTTTTAAATTTTTTAGAAAGTTATATACATGTATCATTTTGTTCCTGCTGGATCGCTGAATCCTGAGTTAAGTTATGCAAAACCCGCCGTGTAAGACCCATTAATAATGTAGAAAGTTAATGTATATATTGTTAATCAGCTCGATTTGGTTGAAGATCGATTCGATTACATTTGATTTCAATTACGTGAATGCAATTCTTGGGAGCGTGAACATAATATGTTTGATTGGCATTTTAGAAGTTGATGAATAATAAGAAAGGTACGAGAGTTTATAGATAACAACCTCTTTATTATAGTGTGATGCGACGTTTCGGTCACTCTTGCTTGACAACGGTATAAGAATCTATACCGAAACGTCGCATCATAATATAATGAAGAAGTTGTTATCCATGAAGTATCATACCTTTCTTAACATAAAGACATTTTCAGATATTTGAATACTCTTAACTCCCTAACAACATTATTAGTTGAGGATCTAACGACCGAATGTAGAAGCGTAATACTATGGACCACTAATAACCCATCTGAAGTGATTGATGAAAAATAACGCTAAAGAATCAATAATCCTTTTTTTATTCAATGTTTTTCTATTCAGTAACTGATTCTCATTTGTGTATTTGCTAATTTGTGTTTTTCATCCGCCCATGTATCCATTTAGCATAATTGGAATTAATCATAATGACGTATAGTAGTAGACGACCTGTTGTTGCGTCAAGATTTGCAGACAGGATATTCGATACACAATTTCTGATGCTGCAAACACCGTACTGACTTTGGATTTTCAAGAAAGCAGCAACGTCATAAATATACTGAGCTACTCTAGAAACGCATGACCAATGGGACTGTGGAGGTAACTATGCAACTAAAGCATTTGTTATCAAACTCTTAACGAACAACAAGATCAAGTTCGTAAAGGACCATTTAATGAAAGCACAGGTTACGTTCGAAAGGATATGGGCGTTAAATTGAAATGAACAAAAAGTTTGGAAACAATGTCAGTAACGGGTATGCCCACCGTTGGCATCAATGACTGCTTTACAAGGACGTCCGAGAGAGACGATGTCGGGGTATCTGTTGCCATATACGTTGTGACCCGTGTAGATCCGGGATAGAATTGGTCTTCTCATGCTTGTCGTAAGAAGCAACTAATGGGATCGGATGGTCAGGTTCCCTGACTTGGTTGACACATGCCATCGGTTCCCATTTGTGCAAATCGATGCTCATGCTGTTGATTACTGGATTGTCTGGTCCGGACTCGATTATTTACAGACCGCCACCTTATAGTTGGAATAATAATAATGATAATAATACTAATGGATGTCCGCGTGAACCACTCTCTTCTTCCCGAAACAAACCCTTCTGGCATGGAGTCAATTGTCCCCGAAATTTCTGCTTCTCATTCTTCTTCTTCAGTTGCAGATCTTTCTGAGAACCCTGTTTATATTCTGTTTAACACTATTTATAAGGAAATTTGTGGTTTACCTCTAGAAAATGGGAGGCCATTTAAACAACTAAACGTTTCTTTTCCCAAAAATGAAATTGATTTATTAAATGAAACTATTTCTCTGAAACTTTCTGCGGACTGTTCGATACATGAAGTGAATTGCTGTGTCTATGCTGCAGCTCTAACTTTGGAGGAACTTTGCTCAGTTTCTAAGGACAAAAACACCCAATTCTAAGAACAAGACATCAAAGAAAAACCGGTTTCAAGTAAAACATAATGAAACTAGAAGAAACATTTCCTGGATAGAGCTGTGCCTTAAGATACGATCATCAGGGAATCCCATGTCTAAACGACAAAAGTCAATATGGAGAAAATTAAAATTACAATATAAGACAACAAGAGAAAAGGGACTTCTCCAAAATTGTCGATTCCCTTAAGGCCAAAATAAAAGTTTGGATCGTAAGAAAGAAAAAATGGGAAAAGAAGAACAATTTATCAAACAGAATAAACTTTTTAGAAATAATGAAAAACACTTCTACAGGTAACTGAAAACAATCGGTGATGGTGAGCATGATAAACGGTCTCCCAATGATGCCAATGAAAGGTTCTGGAAACAGTTGTGGTCTGTACCCGGCGACTGTAACCTTTGTAACAAAGTAATACAGGCGACAACAAAAGGTTTGCAAGGAATTGAAGTATTTATTTCAGTCGCAGTCTCATCACAGAGTCCACAGGGCTGGTCTGGTCAGCATGGTCCCGGCAGGGTCCAAGCAGCTGTAGGTAGAGGCAGGCAGATGCGGGCGGAGAGTCCCTCTCAGCTGGCAGTAGTGTCGTCTGTGAGAGTCAGTTGGGTTCTGCTTGAGAGTGGGGCCTGGCTGCCTTTTAACCAGCATACCCCCCTCTCTTAAACGTCACACTGGCCACAAACAATCTGGCAGGTTGATCCAGCTAAGTCCACTAGATTAATCAGTCTCATGGCCAATGTCCAGTGTGGCATTTCACGTCAGTTTTCTTAACTCCTTGTTTTTAACTTCTAGTGAGATATGGTCTCCTTCTTGACATATTCCGGTCAGTCTGGAGGGAACGGTGGGCAGTACACCGGTCACGCTGGATTAGTGTCCGATGCATTTGTTCCTGCTTCTATCCACCACATGAATCACTTCCCTCGTTAATGTCTGGTGTGACATTTTTGTGAGAGTTCGAAAGACCCTGTCCTGACTTTTTAATGAAATATAGTTTCTCAGCAAGGCACGCACCGGTCAGCTAGGTGGCAGAGAAATAGTGCGTCTGTCTCACTGGATTAGTGTCATGGGCCAACACAGCGGCATGCTGCTTATTGTGTTACATTCGCCCCTCTTTACTTTGAAATTTTTCGCAGGAAAAATTTCATTTTTCTTGTACTGTTATATAGTCCTTGCGTTGTGTTTCAGCCGTATATTGTTGCTACAGTTCACCATAGTACACAAATGGAAAATTATAGTTTCCTTGAAAGGGTTGGTAAATATTTACACAGTTCACTCACATTCCCACAGTTTCAACACACTGGGGCATTTAATCGAACTTGGTCGTTCACGAGTTAGTCCTTGGACATCCCGTCGGGACACAACACAGTCTGGATCACGTTGCCGCCGTCGTTCCTGGGTGGTGATTATCCAGTCACGTCCAGACTTGGGTAGAGTTGTCGCACTACCGTTGTGGTTCCCATTCCGTCCACCCTTCCAGGCACGAGTGGTGCAGAGGCTATCCGCTCCCTGTCGGTGGTAACCGCACCTTCCGTTTCAACAGGCACCAACTCGAACCCGGAAGCAACATGGGTGTGTTTTCCCCTCCTAATTCTTTTGGCAAGCCAGGGTTTGATAAATTTTGAATAGAGAGTAACCAACACTATTATCAATGTAACTGATAATGCCACCATAACAAAGGTCCATAAGTAGTTCCCAGTTTCCATTTCCTCAATCGTACCCATTGACTCTAATTGTTCAATTAAGTGATCCATTGGAATTTTATAAGGATATCTTAGTTTCTTTGGTAATCTAGCCTTTTTGAGATCAAACGTTTTTCTTTGTTAGGGTTCAACCAAGAGCATTTGCGTTACATTCAGCCTATTGTGAAATCTAATCTTTCCTGCGTTGCT